GAGATGGAGGAGCTAGAGCTGGAGACACTTGAGCTGGTGGCTCTGGAGCTGTTGACCCTGGAGCTGGAGGTGCTGGCGTTGGGGGTGCTGCGTCTTGCGGTACTGGTGCTGGAGGCACTGAGCAGAGGCGACCGTTTTTCGTTCCTCCGCCACCGTCGTCTCATCCGCCACCTGACTCAGTCCTTCGCCGGGTTCTTAGTCTCTCGTCTTCTACTGGCCTTCCCCCTAGCTTACTGAGTCCACCGCCTCACCAGATGCAGCCACAGGTACAGCTAGACTCCCCACTGCCTGCTCCTTCTCCTTACCCTGAGCAGACAGACTCTTTTACAGAGCGTCGTGAGCCTGAGTCTCGTCCTGCCTCGCCAGTTTGCGCTGTTCGCACTGGTCGGCGTGTTCCTCGTCCGCGTCCTCCTCCTGTCCCCGGCACTCACATTATGGCACTTCGTCCTTCCTCTGTTCCATTGCGAGTTCCCCTGCCGCCTCCTCCTGAGTCCTCTCTCCCTGCCGTTCCCGACCCTGAGTCTGACTTAGCTCGTGCTGCCAGTCCTACTGTCCCTCGTCTTCTCGCCACTGTTGTCACCGACCCTTCTTTTGAGTCTGCTACTGCGTCTGCCCTAGTTGCTGAGCTTGTTGACTTTGCTGCCGCCTGTCGTCTTGACTACGCCACTAGTCTTGTTGCTGAGTCTGAGTCTGACTGTCCTCTGTTCGTCGGGGGTGAGTGTGCTCTTGGCATGGACGTTCTTGAGGACAAGCAGGAGGACTTTGAGTGTTTGCAGCTGCTGTACCTCATCTCGTGGCCATGCTGCTTGCACCTGAGGGAGACCCGGATGCACCAGACATCCCGACCCCGCGCTCTTACGCAGAGGCGATTACGGGTCCCTACTCCTCTCAGTGGCAGACAGCCATGGACGCAGAGATGGCATCCTAGAAGTCCACAGACACCTACGTCGTCGAAGTTTCCCCTTCTGGGGCGAACATAGTCGATGGCATGTGGATTTTCAGGGTGAAGCGGCCGCCTGGTTCTCCGCCTGTCTTCAAGGCTCGTTACGTTGCACGAGGCTTCAGTCAGCGACAGGGAGTTGACTTTTTCCAGACCTTCTCCCCTACCCCGAAGATGACTACTCTTCGGGTGTTGCTGCACGTCGCCGCTCAGCGTGACTACGAGCTGCACTCTCTTGACTTTAGCACAGCTTTCTTGCAGGGCAGCCTGCACGAGGAGATCTGGTTGCGCCGTCCACCTGGTTTCACTGGGACGTTTCCTGCAGGTACCCAGTGAAGCCTCCGGCGGCCAGTCTACGGTCTCCGTCAGGCGCCTCGCGAGTGGCACGACACACTGAGGACGACACTTGCGGCTCTTGGGTTTGCTCCTTCGACTGCTGACCCGTCGCTGTTTCTACGCACCGACACTTCGCTGCCGCCTTTCTACGTCCTCGTGTACGTCGATGACTTGGTCTTTGCCACTGCTGACACTGAGGCACTGGCCCTTGTGAAGTCGGAGCTGCAGAAGAGACACACCTGCACTGACCTGGGTGAGCTGCACAGCTATCTTGGCTTGCAGATCACCCGGGACAGAGCATGGCGCACCATCACCCTGGCTCAGTCACACATGGTGCACCAGGTCCTTCAGCGCTTCGGCTTCCGGTACTCCTCGCCACGGTCCACTGCTCTGCCTACCGGTCACTCGCTCTCAGCTCCACCTTCGGACGAGCCCGTAGAGCTGAGTGGCCCATATCCAGAGCTTGTGGGCTGCCTCATGTACCTGATGACCTGCACTCGACCTGACCTTGCCTACCCTCTTAGCATCCCGGGAGACACCGACCAGAGCACTGGGAGGCCGCTAAGAGGGTGTTGCGCTACTTGTGCAGTACTTCGGGCATGTGGCTCATGCTTGGAGGACGGGGTCCAGTTGTCCTCACTGGACATGCAGACGCTTCTTGGGTTGACAACTTGGCTACGCAGCGGTCGTCACAGGGTTACACCTTCATCCTTGGTTCCGGCTCTGTTTCTTGGCGGTCTACCCGCTCGTCTTCTGTTCTCAGTTCCAGTTGTGAGGCTGAGATCTACGCAGGGGCCATGGCTGCACTGGATTTACGCTGGCTCACCTACTTGCTGACCGCCTTGGGAGAGCGGCCTCGTTCTACGCCAGTTCTGTACGTTGACAACAAGGCCATGATTGCCTTGTGTTAGGAGCACAAACTGGAGCACTGAATGAAGCACATCGCTCAGCCTTACTTCCTTGCTTGAGAGTTGCAGCAGCGTTGTCAGCTTTGTCTTGCTTACGTGGCCACTCGGGCCAACACTGCTGATATATTCACCAAGGCACTGCAGTCTGGTGATCATCAGCGTTTCCGTACTGTTTCAGGCCTTGTGCCTACTTTGCCTCAATTGCTCACTGCGTGACTTTGCTTGTACTTTGATCTATATGTGTATATATATATCTGCATGCTTACTCTTGCTAGGCTTTGATCACTGTACTATATAAATCTCCATGTGAACTAGCCTTGTGGCTATTTAATTGTGCTCGAAATGTGTGGTGACTTCGTGATCCACCCTGAGCTTGCTTTACTTTTCTTGACTGGTCTTGTGACCACTTGTTCTCCCCCACTTTGCCCATGGGGGTGTGTCAAAATTTTGTAGTGCTTACTTTGTGTAGGCTATAGTGGGGTAGCCCATAAGGGGTACAACCCAATTAGGGTTAGTACTTGTACCCAACTCTTCCACAGTTCATTCATTCTCGTTCTAGATTCTAACGCGTTGGGCAGAAACCGCCACACGCCCGGGGCGTGCGACGGGCAGAAACCGCCACGCGCTCGAGGCACGTGACGGGCAGGGGTGCTGCATGACGGGCAGCGCGACCGGTGGGCCCATGAAAATTAGGTCGTGGGAAGGACCAGCTCTGATAGCATGTCAAGATAAGTTTACTGGTAGTAGTGCCTAGGGTTTGGGTGCTAGGCAACTATCGAGAGTAGAAACTAAGGGGGTTTCACTATAGAAAGTTGGAAACATATATGCAAGGAAAAGAGAGCTGCACCACCAAACAGTTGATGCTTTGGCTTGGGTCAAGCCACCTGGGGAGAGCGATGGCCATTCGTAAGTAAATATTTAGGACAAACAGTTTGCTTTGATTCATTCTGCAAGGACTTCGTAAGAGTTCCTAAATCTGCGGAATGGACCTACCGGTTTCCTTGATGTGTTTCTTTTCTCTCAGTTTGTTATTTACCAAATCATAGGGTGGCCTATGCTTGATTACGACTTCACTCATCTCCTCTCTCTTCCTGCCCCCTCTTGCCAATGCATCTGATTCAGGATAAAATTGGGCAACTCCCCCGTGGATCGCGAATGCGACCCACTGGACCAGCTGGGTGTGGAAGCCCTAGCTGACGCGCCCCGCGCTGGCCAGTGGTTCCAGGCGGAATTCGCCATGCTGGTTCACAACACCGGCCCGCCCTTTTCTGCTGCAACCATGGACCTGAGTGGGAAGTGATCAAGGGGCGCAAGGCCCAGAGCTGCCGAGGCGGTACCCGAAGGAGTTAATACGGTAACATATAGTTGCCAGCGGTCCACATGTTTCTAAGGTAGGAAGGTTGGTTGGACCTAGTGGCCCTTTCAAAGGTAGGAAGGTTGGTTGGACCTGGTGACCCAACCAAAGGTAGGAAGGTTGAGGCAATTGAAGAGAACTTGAGACTCCTGTTTTAATTGTTTATGTCATCAATGGTTTGTGTGGTACCTCCCTAGACACCGACCTAGAATGGCGGTGTCATTAGTTCGCTAGGTAATGGAACGTGTCTAGCAGCTGGCTCCTTCTCGTCCCGCAGGTTGTCTGACAAGTGTCCATGCTTACTCCACCTACTTATTACCGTACCATCGGCGGAGGGGGGATTTGGTGTCTAGTGACCCTGGACAGTAGTGCACATATTGAGTTTGGCATATTTGTGCTGTAAACAAGAGTGCATATAAAAGTTAGTCCCAACCGTGCCCCCCCCCCCCCCCCCCCACTAACACAGCTCAGCAGCTACACATGCATTAAGGGTAATCCGGAATAAGTCCGTGCCCAGATGAACACGTGATCATGAAAGAAGGGCACCCCATTGTCCTCGAAACGGTCAAAACAATCTGGTACGCAACGAGTTGATGCGGTGCGGTGTTATTGGCTCGAGCGAATCCTCATCCTATCTTGATCAGGGCGAGCAGTTAGCCGACAATGAGCCGTATCTGATCAAAGCTGGCAAGTAGAAAAGGGGGTGCACATATTGACTGTGAAACAATGGTGAGAAAACCGAGGAGTACAAACACTACAACAGAAATAACAAGGGGGGATGGGGAAATAGAATACCCTCCCATTCCACTCCCCATACTCACTGAAACACCTAGAATGGGAGTGGAATGGGAGGGTATACTACTTTCGTACATGCTAATTGCCTATATTGAGAGGGCCAGATGGAGTGCTGCTTCCCTACGTCTCCTCTCCCTCACTCCTCCATATCAACAACCTAACTGTCCGCATCCCACCACTGTCCCACCAAGGACAGTGGAAAAGGGAAGTTTTGATGGGATTGAGTGAGAGCGATGCACGGGGTTGTGCTGATGTTGGTAGGGTGATTGCAGCGTTTCTGAGGCCGCCGTGGCAGGCGGCTGCATTGGATGCTGTCACGAGGTGACGTCTCACCACACACATGGTTGTTGTGTTCCACGAAAGCCCGCATCCAAATGTGAGCGACGGTTGAGGCGTGTGTGCTGCTGTGACGGCACCACTCCAGTCACACGTCCCCTGGCCCCACCCCACTCTGCATGAATGCCCCAAGCTTCTCCCCATGTCCCCTTCCCTGCCACCATTCTTCACATTCCTGCTCGTTTCCACTGGTGCGTTGGTGAACCTCATTGGCTTGGAAGTTACAATCCCTACCATGAAGCTATCATGGCACATGCATACTGCCCCTATCTCTTCTCCCTTCCCATTCCCCCATCATCCTCCCTTCTCATCCTTCCAATTCACTCCCCTCTCATCCTCCGCTGCTGACCTGGGTAATGGATGAAGACCAAACTGGCTCCTCCTCGAACGCTGCAAACACGCCTTCCAGCCGCACCCGTGCCACGTCAGCAGTTGTCACGTCCGAGCGTGCCAGCTCAGCCTCAGCGGTGTGTCTTGCTTGGGGCGGCGTTCCCACGTTGGGGGGGGCATGTCTTGCTTGGCTCGGAAGTACCCCGCCTGGGGGGGAGCAGATGAAGGCGAGAGGGAGAAGGGGCGGAACGAGGGTTGGGGTTGAAGGATGAGAGGTGTGATGAGAGATGGGAGACGAGACAAGGCGAGGAGAGGTCAACTATGCTGGGGGGAACATGTTTGGCTTGGGTGAGAAGTGGGCTGGCTGAAAGGGGAAACGAGGAAGGTGAAGAGGAGAGCACGGAGGAGAAAGGAAGAGAGGGGGAGAAGGGAAAAGAGGAGGAGAAGGGAAGAGAGGAGGAGAAGGGAAGAGAGGAGGAGAAGGGAAGAGAGGAGGAGAAAGAAAGAGAGGAGATAAAATCACACCCATGGGATGACGTGTCCGGCTTGGGGTGGGATCTGGCCTGCCCGAGGGCCGAGGGGGCAAAGGCGCGGGATGGGGAGGGTGGTGGGGAAAGAAAAGAATGCCAGCAGCAGAACCGGGGATATGCGCGGAAGAAAGGCCTGCATTGTGGCCAATGAAGAGGGGACACGTGTAGCCAGGCTAGGAGCGAAGTGCATGGAGGGAAGTGGTGGCTGGGGAGGGGTTGGAAGGTGGGAGGGAGTTGGAAAGGTGGGAGAATAGATAGTGGATAGGAGAGAGGGCACAGCATGCGGAGATAACTCTATCAACGGGAGCTAGACTACGCGCTAGGCACGGGGTAGGAGGGATCTCTGCGTTCGTTCACTTAGTCGTTCTCTAGCACTTGTGCGTTCACAGGGCAAAAAACGCAAGAGTTTCATTAGCAAAATTTGAGAACAATGGTAGTAACTAGATTGACAAGATAGACTACATCAGAAGCCTAGCATACAAGTCGACCACCAGCTCAGGACGAAGGCGATTTGCAAGCTGGTCGGCCTCAGGCGTCCTCAGTCGACCTGCAAGGCTGGCGTGCCAGTACACCATCAACAGGCCACCACACGTGCTCATGTGCGCGCACCTACTTCGCAGGTGCAAGGTGACGGTAACGACATGCACCGCCACGCACATTGCGCAAGTGCCAAGTCAACCACATGTCGACGGTTGCACCTGAGGAGTCCTGTTGACCACGTGCCACCGAACCGCAGGTCGACATTGCCAATCTACCTGGGCGTCAGTCGCGAACCTCGCAGACCTCGTCGTCCGGGTAACCTGGTCAACCAGGCAACCATGTCGACCAGGTGTGTCATCCCAGGCCCGTCGACTGCCCAGGTCGACGATCACCACATGTCGACCACGCCAGGTCGACCACTCCCCTGGTCGATCAACCCCAGGTCGACAACCCACCTGGTCGACCAACTCCAGGTCGACTAGTACACCTGTTAGCCGACCACACCCAGTCGGCTTCCACTGGTCGGCGTCACCCAAGTCGACGCCCTCCACTAGTCGACCTCCCAAGTCGACCAGCCTAAGTTGGCGCCCTCCCAAAGTCGACGCCCTTGCAGTGGCCCTTGTGCAGGTCGACAAGGCCCGTCGACCAGCTCGCCTACTGATGTAGGTCGACTGCACTCCTCACACCCGACCCTGAGGTCGGCTCCGCCCAAGCGAGGACGGGGCCAACAACAACTCTTGTTGACACTCCCCTGCCGCGTTCACGCTTGGTCCCCCAGCCCAGACGGCAGCACTACTTGGAGAATAGCTCGTCGGCGTGCACCCAACACACAGCACGCCGGTCACCGCACCAGCCATGCAAGAGGGCATGGCACCTACTGCTGCACGTCGTTGTTACCGTCGCCCACGTCGACTAGGCGCACCTGGCCGATTGCAACGGAGCACCGGTTGAAGGCCGGGTAGTGCAGCGCCTTCGTCAGGAAGTCGGCTGGCTGCTCAACGGTCGGGATGTACTTCAGTGAAAACTTCCCGCGCTTCACCATGTGCTGCAGCCAGGCTTGTCGTCGCTCCATGTGCTTGAGGTTGCCTGTCAACCCCATGCCCTTGGCGACTGTGATGGCCGACTTGTTGTCCACCCGAAGGACAGTCGGCGTCCCGGCGTCCAGCTGCCGGAATTCTGCAAGGAGGAAGCGAAGGCGACGTCCCTCCTTGCCGGCTTCGGTTGCCGCCACGTACTCCGACTCAGTCGACGATAGCGTCGCGCACTTGATGCGCTGGCTCGACCAAGAGACGGCGGCCCCTCCAAAGACAAACACGTAGCCGCCCGTGCTCGTCCGGTTCTGCTTCCTGCCCCCCTTGCCGACTTCACCACCGTCGGCTGCACTTCCTCGGCCTGCTCCTCCCCTGGCGGTGTCGACTTCACTCTCACGTCGACTTGCTGGATGTCACGTTGGCCACCGTCGATGCTCTTGGCCGGCGCCACAGGCGACGCCCCACTTCTCCCCTCATCGCCGGAGGCCGACACAGGAGTCAGCCCACGCAGGTCGGCCACAAGGGGAGGGGCACGGGGGGCAGAGGAGGGGAAGGGAGAGGGGACCTCCTCGACGTCCTCAGCAGCAGGCTCACCGACCTCGGCGAGCAGAGGGAGTGTCGCCGTCGAGGTGTCCGTCGGCGGGATGGTCGGCGTCCGGCCCGACGCCGGCCCGTGCTCCGACTTCCACACCTCTAGCGACATGTTCTCGTAGAACACCACGTCCGACGTGGTGACTACCCGGTTGTCAGCGATGTCGAGGAGCTCCCAGCCCTTGCTCTCCTCCAAAACGCCGAGGTGAAGGCCCCACCTGGCCTTCGGCTGCAGATTTCCACCACGCTGCTGCTCGGGGACCAATAACTGCGCCATGCAGCCCCATACACGTGCCAGCGACAAGTCGGGTTTCTTCCCGGTCAGCAGCTGGTATGGCGTCGTCCCCGGCTGCAGCGTTGACCGCTCCAGGCAGTTGCGGACCCAGACGGCCTGCCGCAGAGCGAGGTGCCACCAGTGGTGCTGCACGCCCATGTGCAGCAGCATCGTTCGCACCGACTCCACCACCGTCCTCATCTCGCGCTCCGCCATGCCGTTCTGCTGCGGGGTGTAGGGGCAGGTCAGGTCATGGACGATCCCCTTGCCGTTCACGAAGTCGGTGAACTGCTTCCCGAGGAACTCCCCTCCCCGGTCAGAGCACAGCATTAACACCGACTTCTTCGTTTGCCGCTCAGTCACCGCCAGCCACTGCACGAACTCCTGCAGCGCATCTGACTTCTTGGCAACCGGCCTCACCTACACGTAGCGGGTCTTGCGGTCCTTCAGCAGCAAGAAGTACAGGCTGCCATCCTTGGCAGCCACTCGGAATGGCCCGCACAGGTCGACGTGCACGACAGTCAGCACGTCGTCAGCGTCGGAGCCCTGGTCGGGGAAGGTGTGCCGCGCGAGCTTCCTGTCGACGCACGAGACACACGGCAAGTCGGCGCCAGACGCAGACTTGAGGTCCAGCTCAGTGGCGACCTCGTGCTTTGCCGAGCTCCGGATGGTGTTCATGGCGACATGTGCAAGCCTTGCATGCAGCCTGTCCGGCGTCGACTTCGTCACCGGGACGATCGCCCGCAGAGCCACGACCTCCGTCGTGGGAGTTGTCGACTTTGCCGAGCAGGGACGCAGGTCGGTGCAGAGGACTCGCCCGGTGTAGGACGCCCGATCGAGGATGTCTCCCGCCGCCGAGACGAGCAACATCCCGTCGCCGTCTTCTTGCAGCTTCACGCCGTTCTCCTTCAGCTGGCCGGCTGAAAGCAGGTTCACTCGCACGCCCGGGACGTAGAGCACGTTGGGGATTAGCACCTGCTTCCCGGCCTCCCCTTGCAAGGCGGCCGTGCCCCAGCCCTGGACGTCCTGCAGTGCCTCGTTGAAGCCGCGCACGTGTTTGACATCCCCACTCGGCCCCAAATCAACGAAGGCAGCCTTCGTCCCCATCAGGTGATGCGAGCAGCCGCTGTCAAGCAGGACCACCTCCGGGTTCGCCTGCACGGCCGCCGCCATCGCCTGGAAGTCCTTGCCGGCCTTCGGAGCCAACGAGACGGTTGGCTCCACGACGCCAACCAGCGAGCACGACGCCTCCTTGTCGTCTCGCCCTTTGCCGCCAGCATAGGAGTCGGCGTCCTTCACCGAGGTCGACGACTTGGTCGACTGCTTCTCCTTGCGCGGCTGGTTTCTGACTCGATGGGGATGACGGCTGCTAGACCTCCCGCGGCCCCCCCTTGGCGTCGTCGTCGTCGGAGTCACTGTGGTCGGGGCACTCGAAGGAGAGGTGGTCGGGGTCGCCGCACAGCCAGCACTCCCGACGTCAACTTCCTCCTCCACGACCGCTATCCTTGGCCGACTTCTTCTTGTTGGCGTCCTTGGTCGGCTTCCAGCCACTGCTACCACCGCCACCAGACTGACCGCGCTGCCCCGGTCGGCCACCTTGCTTCACCGGTGCGACGTAGTTAACCTGTGCAAGGAGCTCCGAGGGCCGCTCAGCTTCCTGCATCGCCCCATCTTGATGGATGTACGAGGTAAGAGAATCCTCGTTGAGTGTCGCCCTAGTACACGGCGCCAACGTCAGTCGTTTCAGCAGGTTGTAGCTGCTCGTGAGCCCTTTGATAACGTGCGTGAGGTACAACGCCGTGGAGTACTGCACGCCGGCCATCCATGGTGGCGAGAATTCGCCGAGCCCGGTTGTAGTAGTCGGTCGCCGTCTCCTTTTCACCCATCCGTATGTGCGACATCTGCTCCTCAAGCTGGCCGATGTACAGGGCGTCGGTGACCTGGTACGTCGACTCGATGAAGTGCCATGGCCGGTGGCCGGCGTCGAGGTACTCCCTTCACGACTTTAAGGCAATCTACACGCCCGGCGAGCAGCACCGCGAGATGACCGTGAAGGTCAGCAACTGCACAGCGCAAAACTCCGCACGCAAGTCGGGGTAGTGTTCCTCCGGCGTCGCCACAGTGCCCATGGCGAAGCCGATCAGCCCGGCCATCTCCCACTGGGGCTCGATGGCTTCCTTCCAGGTGAGGATATCAGGTCGACCAACAAGCAAGGGGGTGACCGAGATCCTGTCCGGCGTAAACTTGAAGTAGCCGTAGCTCGGTGCAATCCCGCCCGCTGTCACGTGGGTCGCCGACATTGGCGACAAACTGCTTCGTCGTCCTCCGCCATCGCCTTGTGAGGAGCCTGCAGCCACTGACGACCGCATCCCTCGTGCCTGAACGCCGCCGAATTCATCGGCGTGAATCACTCCTCGCTGCCTTGACGTGCCTCCCGCACTGCTGCCGACTTGACCACTATTGGCGTTGACGCCCGCGTCGACGCCACCCTCAGTGTTCACCGGTTGAGGAGAGACAGGCCGAGAAGGGTGCTCCGTCGCCCACACAGCACGGATGCCAGCCTCGACGACCGCCCAGGGCAGGTCGACGTACTCGTTCGCCTCGTGACGTCTCCTCGCGTTATCCAGCCGTGCCTCCATGGTGTCCACCACCCCCGTGTCAACTACGGCGCCTACCATAGTGACTACTGCACAGCTGCCAGCCTACAAACACAAATTAGGTAAGTGACCACTACGTCGATCTGACTGAAAGGTAAGTCGTGTG